CAATTATGGGTACTCCTCCAGCTTCATCCTTGAACTTACCAATAACCTTCTTATTATGGGTTGAGTAGTAAGGACTCTCTTTTGGGTAATCTGAATTATCCCAGCAGTCTTGCTCTTCACCGATCCTCCTGAAGTCCTCGTAGACATCATCCGTCTTCAGTTCGTACATCAGACTGTCAGTATCGGTGAACAGTAACCTCGAATTATTACCGTACTCCTTCTTAATGGTGTTGTAGTGGAAATCATATATTAAAGTCTTGGATAAGTCTAAGATGCTCATTCCCACGTAACACGGCTTATTCAGCGTTAGCACTTCTTTCATCCTCTTTACCACTATAAGATTCTCATTCATGATTCGATGTCACTGGAAGCACGGTGATGCTGTCAGTTTTAGGAGGTCGTCTTTAGTGGACACTAATTTCACATCAACCCTTTTCCTAAGATTCTCCATAGTCTTTCCGTAGATCGAGTTGTTCATCAACTTGAAGAAGTTCTTTTCGAATGTGTTACGGGCTACTGACCTTTTCTTTGTATTAAAGTCTATATAGTCCTTAAGCCAGGGAGACTGCTTGAATATAACCGCTCTATGAACCTTCGTGAGTTTCATCCCAAGGTCTGTGTACAGTTTTAGATTACGTACATGTAGGACGTACTTCTTCCTGGGGCCTAGTGAAGTTACTAGTTTTCTTACTCCTTCAATTGTCAGTTGGAATTTCTCAGCAATACTCTTCGCATAATCTGACAACATAGAAGCACTGATTTCCTTACTCTCCGGTGCTAGAGGATAACCGTTGTGTAGGTCGTGAAGTTCTTGTGGATATTCCAGGTCAACCTCCAAAACCATTCCCCTTCCGTTGTCTCCCAGGTAATCATCCAGATTCATACCATCAACTTCCTCAACCCACTCGAACTCTCCGTTAGGTAGTGGTTGTGACATTGCCCAGCCATATAAATATTATTAGCGTCGAGGTACATTAGGTACTTGTTCTCAGACGACTCATCGTACGTCTCCATGTACTTATTATTAGCTGCTGAGTGTCTATGAGCAATATAACTTGTACCACCTGTCATACCCTTTTCGAAGAACTGGAACATATCCATATCGCTTACGAGTTCTATTTCTTCACCTGACTTTTTCAGGAAAGCGTCCCAACTCAGACTAGGTGCTAACACGTAATGTGCGGGGTCAAGTTCGTAACTTTCCAGACATGTTCTCCTGAAGTTCTCAAACACATCAGCCAGCAGAAGAACGTCAGTGTCTAAGTAGAGGTCGTGGTAGTATGTCATGGTTTTCATCTTGAAGTGTTCCCATACTTTCTGAGCTCTCTGGTAATCTTCCTCCTTCACCTCTGACTCATACAGTGATGAGTAGAACTTATCCTTGCTCGGAAGACCTTCTGTATTGAGTTTGCTAATATCATCTAGGAACTCATATGGGAACACTCCTTTCTGTGTCACTAGATTGAAGTTCTCACCCTTCCACCTCTTACCTACTATCCTGAAGTCCTCAGGTGAAAGGTTACTTACCAGTGCTTCCAGTGAAGAAGCCATGAACTGTATAGAGGCTATGAAGACCAGATTCTTACCCAGTGAGAATGAGATGTATTTTTCCATATTATTTGGGATCACATTAACATCCATCTTGAACTTGCCACTTTCCTGCATAATCAGATGGCTGTCATAACCTCTCAGCTTGTGGAAGACCACAGGTACTTTCCATGTAATTCTATATTTCAGATTACATATATTATGAGCAGCTCCGCGGTACTTACCTGTTACATGGTCGTGGTCTCTCACACGGTCCTCACATAGATCGTAACCACATATATGGCAGTTTCTTGTTTTCCAGAACTCAGCTTCTTCTTTAGGTGTAATTATCATTTTCTTCCTGAATATTTTGTCGGTCATTTCCCTACATCTGAAGGACCATCACCTAGGAGTAGAAGTTCCATATGATCCTCGTATGCGGACTTCGAGTTCCTTATGGGGTAGAACTGTTTTTTACCCTTGTAACCGAACACGGATATGTTAATACTGTTTTTCCTCTCAATTCTATCAATGTCACTTATCTTCACGGGGAAGTCTATACCGTCATAGTCCAGGTTCGTTATGAATTCCCTATCTTTCTGTGTGATAGTAGTTGCTCTTCTAGCCTTAGGATTCAGATGTCTCACATGACTCCACAGGAAACACAGGTTGTCATCATTCTTCATATTGATGAGCCCACACTTTGAATTACTAATGTCCTTAGGAAGTTCTATGTATGAACTACCCTTTAACGGTTTGTACATTGCAATGTTTACGTAATGACTCTCAATTTTTTTTTTTTTTTTTTTATTATTAATGGTTTAAGATACACACCTTCGCAATAGATTGAATTATGGTGCGTTTACAAAATTGGTACGCTATATATTTACATATATAAAAAATTTAGTTGCATGCATCAAGTCTAAAAATCTTATTGAATTGCATTAAAATCATCGTAATTAAGTATCACGCTTAAGTTTCTTTACTATAACTATTATATAGAGCTACTGTACTGGGAAAAAAGCTACGGCGATATATTTCTGTTCGGCATTTTATTGTTGTTAATGTGTTAGAGTTTCTAAGTTCATAATCATTTGAACTAGCCCTAGACAATGGAACATATTTTGACAGTGGTCCTTCAATTTCTATGCGTTTCATAGTATTGAGGCAATGTCGTTCTCGCCTTTCATCCAATCTGGAACACCCAAGTTGTGCTAATGCTTCCCTATAAGAGTAACCCGGTAAAATGATCTTCAGCGCTCGTTTTTGCACTCGCTCTAAATCATCGGCGAGGTACAAAGGTAGGGCATGATGCCATACCACACAACAGTACTCCAGAACCGATCGTATTAAGGCAAAGTATATACTCAATAAGTCTTCCGCGGGGACACCACCTCGTCGTAATATGCGGATGATATATAAACGTTTAGAAGCCTTGGATACAACTGATTCTATGTGTGCATTCCATTTAAGATCGTTTTGAATAACCAGACCTAGGACTTTATGAGACCGCACAACCTCAAGCGCATGATCGTCGATCAACAATGGTGATAGATCAGGTGATTCCCGCAGAAAGCAAACGCGTAGTTCTTTGCACTTTTTGTGGTTAAGTTTCATAAGGTTGCACGAAGCCCAAGAATTTATAGTATCAATACAGAATTGAAACTTTGAATTGCTGCCCTTTGTGATATTTTCAGATGTTGATATGTCATCCACAAATTTCCAAATATCCGTTGCGTGTGGTTTCACATCGAGATCATTTATCATCGCCAACAACAGAATTGGACCGAGTTTAGTTCCCTGGGGGACACCCGCATTCATTGGCAACCAGTCTGACGTTTTTCCTCCAAGTTTGACCCGATGACGGCGGTTGGTTAGGAAGTTGATAATCCAAGGCAACAGGGACGATCTAACACCTAGGTCCAACAGCTTTAATATTAGTAAATTATGTCCTATACGGTCAAACGCCTTTTCGAAGTCAAGGAAACAAAGTCTAAGATGTTTTTCAGGACACTCTAAGTTGCACAACCAAGTGTGGATCATGTCTAAAAGACAATAAGTTGTGGATGTTCCTTTCAAGCATCCAAACTGCCTGGGGTCGATCTTGTCTTTAATATCGGTTATCATCCACCCGACCA